ACACTATCACAGCAGCGGTGGATGTCATGCTGTGTAGGGTGGGGCACAGTCACAAGTACTTCACTATCACAGCAGCGGTGGATGGCATGCTGTGTAGGGTGGGACACAGTCACAAGCACTACACAATCACAGCAGCGGTGGATGGCATGCTGTGTAGGGTGGGACACAGTCACAAGTACTACACTATCACAGCAGCGGTGGATGGCATGCTGTGTAGGGTGGGACACAGTCACAAGTACTACACTATCACAGCAGCGGTGGATGGCATGCTGTGTAGGGTGGGACACAGTCAGTACTACACTATCACAGCAGCGGTGGATGGCATGCTGTGTAGGGTGGGACACAGTCACAAGTACTACACTATCACAGCAGCGGTGGATGGCATGCTGTGTAGGGTGGGACACAGTCACAAGTACTACACTATCACAGCAGCGATGGATGGCATGCTGTGTAGGGTGGGACACAGTCAGTACTACACTATCACAGCAGCGGTGGATGGCATGCTGTGTAGGGTGGGACACAGTCACAAGTACTACACTATCACAGCAGCGATGGATGGCATGCTGTGTAGGGTGGGACACAGTCACAAGTACTACACTATCACAGCACCGGTGGATGGCATGCTGTGTAGGGTGGGGCACAGTCACAAGTACCACACTATCACAGCACCGGTGGATGGCATGCTGTGTAGGGTGGGACACAGTCACAAGTACTACACTATCACAGCAGCGGTGGATGGCATGCTGTGTAGGGTGGGGCACAGTCACAAGTACTACACTATACTACTCCACTTTAGATAGGGATGTTTTCATCTTTCAATCATACACACAACTGATTCTCCTATGTCAAGTGTATAGTTAAACAGAATGATATATCTGATTATCCCTGTCTGGAGTTAAGTGGCACATATCAGAAATAAACTACTATATGTGAATGTTATTTAGAACTGTGGTACACATGGAGTGTATTAGGTAGGTTTCCTGCTCTGATGGGGCAGTGGGGTAGGGTAATGGTAAAGTGTTCGCTTGTTATACCGAAGACCCCGGTTCGATTCCCCACATGGGTACAATGTGTAAAGCTTATTTCTGGTGTGCCCACTGTGATATTGTTGGAATATTGCGAAAAGCGGCGAAACATCAAACACTCTCACTCACTCATGCTCTGATAAGATTTCGCACATTGTCTATGTTTTGTGATAAAAAGAGTAAGTCTGTCCCAAATATGATAAAAGGAAGGATCAGTGGACATAGTAATGTATGATGCATATGTTGTAAGCTTTGTAAGTCTTCTGAAGCAATTCATGTGTCATGTGTTGTGTGTCATGTGATATGTCATGTGTCATGTGTTCTGTGTTGTGTCATGTGATGTATGTCATGTGTTGTGTCATGAGATGTGTGCCATGTGTTGTGTCATGTGTTGTCTGTCATGTCATATGTTGTGTGTCATGTGTCATGTGATGTATGTCATGTGTTGTGTCATGTGTCATGAGTTGTGTGCCATGTGTTGTGTCATGTGTCATGTGTTGTCTGTCATGTCATATGTTGTGTGTCATGTCATATGTTGTGTGTCATATGTTGTGTGTCATGTGTCATATGTTGTGTGTCATGTGTCATATGTTGTGTGTCATGTCATATGTTGTGTGTTGTGTGTCATGTCATATGTTGTCTGTCATGTCATATGTTGTGTGTCATGTGTCATGTGTTGTGTGTCATGTCATATGTTGTAGTCATGTGTTGTGTGTTATGTGTTGTGTCATGTGTTGTCTGTCATGTCATTTGTTGTGTGTCATGTGTCATGTGTTGTGTGTCATGTCATATGTTGTGTGTTATGTGTCATGTGTCGTGTCATGTGTTGTGTCATGTCATGTATCACGTGTCATGAGGGATCAGGTAGCCCAGTGGTGAAAGAATTGCCTTGTCATTCACAAAGATATCATTCAAATTATGTTAAATGTATGTTTTGTTGAAACTATTATTCTTGCTACCTCCATTTTATCCATAATGTGTACTTCGTCTCAAGGACTTTAAAACAATTCTACTCAAATGGGATAAGACATGAAGACAAGGTGGTGCTTGTATCATCATCGTTTATCCAGGGTATTATTTCTTCCTTTCATTAGGATAAATACCCTGGGCCCTTTCACCACCATAGCTATGTTTAGGGAGAGATGTCATCCTATCCATCTCTCTTATTGCTTATTACACAGAATTCCTCATGCTCATCAGTGTAATTTGATTGGACAGCTATATTTAACTTTGTGTCATTATGATCAGACTAAAAAAAAGCTATATTATTTATCGTAACAGTATGAAGATATAAGACACTGATGGTATAAAGTTAATTCTGACCTATTCAAGAAATGCATTTTTTAAAGAATCTTGTGATTGTCATATCATCAAGTTCCTTATAGTCTAACAAAAGAGGGGAACATCAAAGTTATGTATTGATAGGAACATCTACACAATATACAGATAGGAACATCAACACAATATACAGATAGGAACATCTAGACAATATACAGATAGGAACATCTAGACAATATACAGATAGGACCATCTGAAACAATATACAGATAGGAACATCTACACAATATACAGATAGGAACATCTAGACAATATACAGATAGGAACATCTACACAATATACAGATAGGACCATCTTAAACAATATACAGATAGGGACATCTGGACAATATACAGATAGGAACATCTAGACAATATACAGATAGGAACATCTACACAATATACAGATAGGACCATCTTAAACAATATACAGATAGGAACATCTACACAATATACAGATAGGACCATCTTAAACAATATACATATAGGAACATCTAGACAATATACAGATAGGAACATCTAGACAATATACAGATAGGACCATCTAGACAATATACAGATAGGGACATCTAGATAATATACAGATAGGAACATCTACACAATATACAGATAGGAATATCTACTATGTAAAGATAGGAAGATCTAGACAATATACAGATAGGAACATCTACACAATATACAGATAGGAACATCTACACAATATACAGATAGGAACATCTACTATGTAAAGATAGGAAGATCTAGACAATATACAGATAGGAACATCTACACAATATTCAGATAGGAACATCTAGACAATATTCAGATAGGAACATCTACTATGTAAAGATAGGAAGATCTGCACAATGTTAAGGTAGAAACATCTACGCTATGCAAAGATAGGAATGTCTATGCTACACTTCAGAGATGTATATTATTAGTAACACAATCAAGTGTAGTTTGATTATTCTTAGACAGAAAACACTTCTATCTCTGTAGGGTGCCTGTGCTATTCGGAACAGATCACTCCAGCCTGATATCCCGGTTCTAGCATCTCCATGTAATAACTTGTCTCCTATATACATACACCAAGTTTCATGCCAGATAATATTCTCTCGGAAAATAAATTGTGTTTTTACAACAAACACACTATTGAGGGACTCTGAGTACTAGAGTGATGGGGGTTCCAGAAACAGCTTTGTTCTTGAAGAGAATAGGGAAAGAAAATATCAAGACTTTATAGTCTGCGGGCCGCAAGTGGATGCGAACAATCGCAGATTAATTTTCCGCAGCAGATGTAAAGTAAAAGGATTTGGGTTAGTCTTTGTGTTTCTATTCACACTATGAGAGAGTCCTTAGGCCCAAGGTGCGAACTAATCACTCGCCTCTTGCCCGATTGACTCAACGTGCATTTAAAATCAGTCAGGTTTTTAATAAAGGCTGCTATTCAGTAACCTGTCCATTGTGTAGGCCAGTATGCCTGAGGCTTAGATTAGCATGGGTGGGTTTAATGCTGAGAAGGGTGCTAAGTTTGTGTAGGAGAGTCGAGCCGATTAGCTGTACCCTGATTGCGAATCATTGGCCCTGCAAACTTATTTCGATTCTGCCACGCTCCAAGGAGCCTTGTGTTACATCGAGAGCCTGACATGTTGGATGTATGTTTGTATTTTACGGACAACGGTTCTGCCTTGAGGCTTTATCAGTCACAGTCTGTGACTTGGATATTTGTCAATGGAATTGTCCTGTAATAATACACAGCGTCTTCATAGAAAAGATACCTTTCTGTTTTCATTTCTATCGTAGGGCTCTTTTCAGTAAAGCATGAATAATTGCTACCATGGAAGACAGGACGTATTTCTGTTTAACACAGAGGCTGTGGAGGAAGGCATTAGCTTTGGGAATCAATAGAATGTAAACTGAAAAACTGCCGTGTTGTTTGCAGGATGAGGAGGAGAAGGTTGACATTTGTGAGTATATAGCTGTAACAGGAATACTAAAAACTCCCATCTCGTGTCAGTATCATCACCTGCTTTCAATAAGGCCTAATAAAGCAGGGTCGAGAGGAAGTAAGATGCAGTCTCTCAACCAGATGCGGACGTTTATAGTTTGATGGCAACCGGGACCCTTCATTAAACTAAACAACTACAGGTGATACATTATTGATTGGATTTAAACCTGGAACATTAAATAGGCCATATGGTATTGCTTGTTGCATAGTATGAATCTGAATGTTAACAAGGACATATGGTAGGTACTTAGGTTGATGGCATTGATTCTGAGTTAGAAATTCTCATGGTAAATAAAAATTTAGATAAAAAAATGACATTCATGCGAATCAAATTTTCTGGTAAATGCTATGACACAAATGTGTATGAAATGTAAAGCATTTAAGGGTTCTGTGTTCTTTCTCATCATTGTGAGTAACTGGAATAAATAAAAATAACTCTAAATCTGTAAACTTCCTCCACAATTCTGACTGACCTTGGATGGGTTTTCAGTAATATATACCTAGCTACCAAATACTGTTCATTTTGAAGTAAAGGTGTATGGCTGCATGGATCATGTGTGTTAACGAAGCCAGCTATTGACAGTTCCCTCAGCTGCGTAACTAATTGTGCTCAGTGCCGATCGCTCAATTAGCTTGTACTGCTACAGCCGATCTACTCAGCAGAGATTGGCAAAAGGAATTACAGCCAGGCGAATCTGCAGCAGTGTACAACAGCACATCAGAGCTGGACTGAATAACACTGGTAGCAGACGGCCACTGTTACATTGGTGGCAACGCTGGGATCGCTACTTTAGTGGCAGCGTTGGAACGGAGAGGTAGAGGCTGTATACCTCGCAGAGAACAACGCTAAGTCTAACAACACCAGCAGAAGATCACACCAATGCAGGAGCAGAAGTGAGAACTTGTCGTCTGCTCAGGAGTGTTTTGTCGTCTGCTTCACAATGCGAGGGCTGTATAACTTATGTTGTGTGTGTGTTTCCCTGGTGTCGTGGGATGATAATGTGATATGTTGGTGCTGACATACAAACTTTAATCAGAAATGTGGATCTAACAGCGATAGTTTTTATGCGGATAAATTTCCTTTTTTTTTCAATGATGTCAATTCGGAGGACAAATTACGAAATATATCATTGAAGTGTTGACATAAAGTGATAACGTGTTGAAGAGTGTAAAATTTGGTATTGATGGATTTATGACGCTAGCCATATTCTGATCACACACATATGATTGACTTCGGATTACTTCCCTATATATCTTGGAGAAGTGATCTGCCGCTAGGCATCTTGTGTCCAAGTGTGATTCGAGCAGAATATTCCTCTCACATTCGTTTATTGATGTGTGGATCTATGAAAAAAATTGCCTGAGAAGCTCTGTGCACAGCAATCAGCCATCAGCCAAACAAGTTTTTTGTCATCTTTATAGGATTGTTACCACAAGACCTTCAACAAACACGGGTGATTATCTACTAATTATTTGTGTAGAGTACAGGTCAAAGAAGCATTATCGATTATGGATTATCAGCTTTTGAAAAATCCAAATATTGATTGTTTCAGAAAAATGATAGATATACTTCATGATAACAAAAGACATTTTCTATTGTGAATACTGAACAGATAACAGCAGTACATAGTCTTTCATTTATGGAATTAAGTCAAATTACAAACTGAAAGTTTTGCGTGATTGACAGCTAATGAATCAATTCCACCCCTTTTTCTGTCATGACGAAATATTTCATGATTATCAAGGCATAATCATTAAGTTTTTGCTACTAGGAGTCTGAATTAGTTGGCAATTCAGAAGGATACATCGTATCTAATTGGAATCTTTTTGGCCAAACTTCAAAGGCCTAAAATTTTGTGATGATCATTTGAAAGAAACTGATGACATGGTGGTCTGTTCGTGTGTGTGCTAACTGCCGTCCAAGTGTCTCCTATAAGCCGCATGTCACTCAAAGCTCGGGCGTCTTCAGAAATCAAATCTTTGGACAGTCGGATGTAACACGCTTTCACAACTCAATCACTGATTCACGTTTCCCTCCAGCCTCGTGGCATCAGTCCTCTCCCATCTCGTCGCCAAAGATTCTTTGGAATAATCAAACCAAAACATTATTTTGAAGTAATTCCAGAAATTTGTTCATTAAAATTTTCACTTTTGTAGAAAAAATACCAAGATCAATGAAGCATTTTTGTTTTGAAGATGATAGATAGTGAGTTGTCAGCTCAATTTTACTGCAGGTTATAAACTTTAAATGTCATGTTGGATTGTGGTCAGATCGATTTGGCCTATAGCTTTATGTACTTTTGACTGTTCTTTTTATATACTAGTCACACATTGGGTTAATATGTTGTGAAAATGATCAAATAACAGATTTGAAGAAATTCTGTTCTGGGTATCTATAAAATAGTGACTCATTATGCTAATCACTATATTTTATTATGAATTGGGCCCATAACTGTCTCACTTAGCATGAATTGTTGTGATTATAATGTACAGGTCAGTCTCATTCAGCTTTTATACTAATTGACCAATACAAACTAGAGTATGTGTCTGTTAACCAACACAGAGAGTAAAATGCTTAAATCAATGTCTGAATATATTATCATGGGCCCCTAAACAAACATTTAATTAATTTAATTTGGTTTTGCGAAATTTTAATTTGGAGAAATTTAATCTATTTTTATACTGATAAAAGAAATTTGCATTTTATCAATGGATATTTAATTGATATTTAAAAGGAATCTGTTTATTTGCAGTTTCAGTACACTTCAGGACTCCATTCTAATCAGAAAAATTTGATAGCAGTGTGTGTTTGAAGTCTAAACTCAGGGATATCTTGCTGAATATTTTGAATCTCATTTACAAGATAAATCAGTGAATGTAATTATTTGGCTCCATCTGCATTATTGTCAGAGAACTGGACCATTCTCCATTTCTGGACGTGAAAACCTGTCATTGAAATTTGAAATCTCCTTGGAGAAAAATCGACCATGTTCTATCAGCAACAACTATCAGTCAGTAAATGTGTGCTTGAATTCCTTCCTTGAAAATCTTCATTGAAATTTGGAATCTCGTTGAAGAAAATCAGTGAAATTTTCTCATCAAACCTTATTTGCGAAGTCATCCTACAAAATCTCCCTGAAAGACATTCACTATCAATCTCCTAAGGAGAGAGAAGCATCAATACTTGTGTGTCTCCCTTTAGATGCACAACGTAGTTGTGAATTCTGCTTGTCAAATGCTGTAATTGAAGCAGACATGAGTGACTTGGGTTCAACTGTCGTCTGCTACCACCCCCTGTCGTCTGCTAGTTGTTGCTTCAGACACAGAATTGGAAGAAATTGCTTCTTGTTCTCGTGAAATCACCGTTAGTATTTGTAATTTGTCAGTTGCAATGTGTTTTTAACTGAAAACATAAAAATGCTCTTTAAAAAAATATTGTTCTATTCTATATAATTTCCTTGCGTTAAGGTTCAAATCCATGAAACATTTCTTAACTTTTGGTTTAAAATATTTGAGTAAACTATTTTATTTTCATAACATATATATGTTTATTGATTTAATGAGAGTTTTTGTTTATTATTTGAAAAGATTACTCGACTGGGTCAATGATTTGTCATGAGTCCCTAAAACTCTCATCAAAACATCATCAGGAAAACTAACATCTGCCTCAAATAATATAAAAATCTGACAAAAATAATAAATTATAGTCCTCTCTCTTTTGACCCTTAGTAGTCATCCATTCATGTACATCCTAACTCAGAACTTGTTTTACGCAAATCTTTTTTTTCCTTGAAAGGTTTTGCAGAGCTGTGTTTTGGATCAAGCCCTGAGGTTGGACTGAATCCGTGTGAGTTACTCTATCAGGAGAAGATGCACTATAATCTTCCTTGAACCAGGAAACCAGATTTGCCTGCTAAGATCACCGGGATTCATATCAGCCTATCATCAGAGAGATTCAACATCAACTATTACAGAGAACATTTGTCGCCCCCATAGAGATGGATATCAGCATGTAGGGAGGCAAGTTGTGAATTACTGTGCCCCCCTCCATCTGTCTACAACCCCATCCACTATGTTGCCTGGCTTGATTGGCAGCTGGTGACAAAGTGGCACACTACCAAACCTCAAAGTGGCGCAGTATCAGATCTCAAAGTGGCCCAGTACCACATCTCAAAGTGGCCCAGTACCACATCTCAAAGTGGTGCAGTACCAGATCTCAAAGTGGTGCAGTACCAGAACTCAAAGTGCATCAAAGGTAAGTGACAATTTATTGTATTTTAAAAAAGGGTCAATAATGAGTTGATATTAACAACATCCTCTCATGCCAGAGGTACAAATATAACTTATTTCTGATAGGTGCACTACAGCAATATCCTAAGAGAGTTTCAATTTTAAAATAAATTATACAGGAGACATTTAAGGAGGCTTGGAGTTATGATAACATCAGTAACTGATGACATGTAACATATTTTTCAAATCAACATAATATTTCAGGATAACGTACCTTTGGATGGATTTAGCCAAAATGAAATCCATTTCAGAAATTTCATTCAATCTCCCTGTTATGTTGTTATCTAGTTGGATGTGACAGCAAGGTTAAAAAGTGTTCATTTACAAGTTGTTATCCAGGGGTTCACCAGTGTAGATGTTAGAGAACATTCCACAGAGAGCTGGCACTGGACTGAGTGATGGTTCTTTTATCACACACAAGAACATTTAGCATTAAATAACATGTTCAATGCAGACAATCTCAAATTAGTTTTTGGAATGCCATATCAAGACCTTGTTATGGGTGTCTGCAGGACTATATATGGCAGACAGTTTCTATATCTGGCAGCTAGACTTTACACATATCAATTTCAAAAGTAGTATGTATGATAGGTTGGATTGATCTTCATGATAATCACATATTTTATAAGAAATTGCAAACAAATATTTCACATAATCCTGCCTTTTAAGGTAGAGATATTTTATTTCTTGCTTTAAAGATTTTGTGTGAAACATCGTGGTAGATATGAGATTTGACATCATGTCATATGTTAACTGTGTATGTCTCAAAGGCAAGGCTTCTATTCATTTTTTGGTTTACATAATTATTTATGTGAAAAATCATTGGTCATGAAAAGAAATTAAAAAAGGCAAATCTTCGAGATGTTCTTTAAAATATGTTGTCATGTGGGGAATGTTTATGAATCTGGTCTTGGACTTTCAGTTTAATGTACTGACAATTTTGTTCTGACGATGTCAGTTTAAAGTCTGAGTAATAATATACATAATTTTTTTAAATAATTTAGATTTTTGGTATTCGTTGTTTATATTGACATATGTCTCAGATGTATAAGGCTCATATGTCTACACTGTGATTGTTGATCTATATCGATTAAATGACAATTAAAGTGTGGTCAATATTGTTTTCTTCACAGTGATGGCTTATCAAAGTATTGCATTCAAGCCCATGTTTGTCACAGTGATTTACAACCTCAGTTTATCATTTGACAAGGAAAGAAACACAAAAAGACGGGAGAACGAAACTGGGCAATCTCATTTAGTTGTATTGGCTGACAAAAAGCTGCGATAATTTGCTCATGTCAATATGGAGGCTAATCTCAGGTGTTAAAAGCTTGACGAGGTTACTACCTAGCGTGAAGTCGTTAAGATTAAAGTGATAGTTCTCGCCAAAGGTGACATTATTGATGTGAAATACACTCCGCTGTTGATCTCTGATATGACGCATGATTGGTGTAAATTGAACAGGTGATTTTGGTATTGATCTGAATTTCATCCGCGGCAAGTTAGAACCTTGCTATTGGGAGCTAAGATAGTATTGATTAAAATGGCAAAACTTTGATGATTGTGTTATGTTAGTTTGAGTAATTGGATGTGTGTTGCAATTATGTGACATTCAGTGGACGTCCGTCAGAGTAAGGGGGAGTTTGATATTTCCCATGTGTCCAGCCAGAGAGGTAATGTGAAAGTGTTTGAATTAATGCCATCAGGAAAGTTTATCATGACATCAGCCACTGGAGGAATCTGTCTAGGATTTACATCATCTTCTTAGTTGTTTTAACATCATCATCATCATCATCATCATCATCATCATCATCTTTTTGTTATAATCGCTGTCAGTATTTTCATCATGATGTGTTTGGTACAGACTCAGTTACATACAACTTGATACAAGTCCCCATGATATTACTATGGATTCAAACAACATTCTACCATGAATTAACTCGATTCTGATTGGTCAATCAGAGGTATAAAATTACAAAAACTACCTCTGACTGAAACAGCTGAGATTGATCATTAAAGTATTTCTTTCTCTGTCATGGTGGAAATGCTTTTTTGAATAATTATATGTACAATTAAAGGTCATGAAATGCAGATTTGCAGTTACAACAGTGTTCAAAGTATGTGTGGAGATACATTCTGGACAGAAAGCACAATAGACATTGACTAGGAGAGTGTGTTACAAGCTTTACGGACCACTGAGGGCTTGAAATTTGGTGCTCTGCTATAGTGGACTGTGACATCCTATATGCTGCATCACAATGAGTGGTGAGATGTTATACCAGTGACAGCAGTGATGAACTAAACCTTGCAAGGCTTGCTCCATTGTTTTTAAGTGTGCCCACTTCATGTTGTCTATGAATGTGCTGTGCTACACACCTACAGTGACTGTTCTTTATGCACAAATAGTATAATGATTGAGCATAGACCCCACCACCATACTTTGTGTAAAGGCTAGTATCGATGTTTTCTTCATTCAGATCCACAACCCACTCAAAACATAGAACTCAATCAATGCTGCTTCACTCAACATCTTGACGATCACCACAGACTTCCTGTTGAAGTTTGTCATGGTAGAATAGAGATAAACATACTGTGTCTTCCATGTACAGCTAGGTCACCTATAGATTTAACTGCACTAGCAGCAATACAAATTGGCACTAGTCCTATGGTTCTTGCCAAACTGCTTAATAGTTAAGGTAGCATAAGAACTAGTAGAAATTTGCCCTTTTTAAGGGTTTCGTTATATGTTATCATTATAAGGACTAGTGGACTAAAACCGTTAGTTTCTATTGCTGACAAGATGTAACATATGAAACCTCACGCTGCGTGTTTGGTTTCCACATTCAGTTTAGGGCAGTTTCATTAAGTGGGAAGCTAATTATCATCATCCTCATTTTGTTGTTATCAATGTCGATATGATTGTCATCACCTTCTTACTGTAAAGGTTACTATTATTAATTATGATCATAATCCTGATCATGAATGTAATCATCATCATTATCATATTGCTGTAATCAATGTAATCATCATCTCATCATCAAGTTATAAGAAATGTTAATAAATATCATCACATCACCATCTTTTACCATAAGTGCCAGCAGTATCATCAGGATATCGTTGATATCATCAATTAACGTCAATATCATAATTATACAGTACATGCAATGAGGCATGGAACATAACCATGGAATATGTCTGAGATATTTACATATTGTTCTGTCATAAGTATCACAGTCCAAACTATGTGGAATCGAATCAAGGTAGTTTCTATGTTTAATCAGGAGAGCTAGATTAACAAAAAAATGCTTACTAATGAAAACTTAGATTAAATTAGTAATAAATATTCCATGAAGTTTTTCATATGTTTAACCTTTTAATAATTCATTTTCAGCACACCAATGACTTCTTTTGCAAGACACGTTGTTGACTTGTTTACATAGAGGAATGGTCTCCGGTTCCATTAAGCAAGATTCAAATGAAAATCATCAAATATTACCGAAAAGCTGGGCGCTGGATTCGGCTCGGAAAGCGATGCACATCCCTTGGCATAATTTTGTCTCTCTGGATTACAACCATTTTTATGTTCGATACGATCTCCGACACATCCAAGATGGAAGATGGTGAAAATGGAGAATTCTATTCCTCGAAAAATTCTATAAGGAGTTCTCAAATTGAAAAATTTCTCCCCAAATCAAATTCCTCTTTTATTGGATCCACCAATTCTCCTGATCGGAAAATTGCCTCGGAAAAAGCTATGGAAATCCAGCAGTTGTATCGAGGTGCCCTTCGAAAAATTGAATCAATTGGCTTCGATCGGGATAAAATTCGAGGTTACCATGAAAACAGCAACAAAGACCGATTGGTAAATAGCAAAGGTGTGACTGGGGCAAAAACCAGGATATTAATAGCAAAGGGAGTTGTAAATAAAATGGAGTTTGTGTTATCTAAATCTTCAGGGAATCATGAATCGCCCAGTAAAACCCAGAAAAGTAATAAATGTATCCACACAGCAGATTCCGAAAGATGTGAAGAAAGTCCAGGATATCAAACTTTACCTAAAAAATCACCACACCAGTCACCAACACATACACGCAGCGGTCGAGTTACTGTGAAAAAAAAATCTCCAATTTCTTCCCAAACTCAAGGGAAATCACTTGTAGAAACAGTGGAATCTCACACGGAAGTAAATATAGAATTTTATGAGAAAACACAGGATAAAGAACGGATAAAGAAACTGGAAAATGAAGGCTTCCTTGGCTTTTCTTATAATGTCTCCGCCAGTGATGGAATAGATATGAATCGAACCCTCCCCGAAACAAGCCCTAAAAGGTAAGTGTTGTTCTATTTTTCTCATGAAGAGGCTCATAAAAAAGTCCTTTTAGATAAATTTTCACATTAAATATGATTATTATCAGGATATACTGCCACCAGCTTCCACTGTAATCAATATAATTGTTTTAGTTTATTTTTCAGTTTGCCATTAGTCATAAATATCTCTTTTGACAACATAATAGCTTTTAGGGGTGTAAACAGAATGTATGCAATGTCAATTCACTATAAAGAAGTCTTTTTTAATAAAATATATCCAGAAGTTAGCCCCCAATTTACAAAGAGACATGAAGATTGTTTAGAACTTGTCCAATACTTATCATGTTTTATGTATTAAAAGATATACCACATTGGGGAGTATGCTTTATCAGTAAATATAAGTTTGAGTAAAATGAAATTCTGCACATTATGATGTAATCTGTAAATTTTGTACACGTTTTATTGATAGGAATATTCTAGAACCAGACTTAAGGTAGGATATCATCCAAACATATTGGAATGTACATAACACTATTTACAAAGTATACATATGGAGATATGAGACCAAAATATTTAATTGTTCTTATCATGATTGACACTTTACAAAGAGTTGAATATCTATGGCAGTGCCATCTGTTATGGAACATTTGCCTTGGTATTTAGTTTAACTAATAGATCCAATGAAAATATTCTTCAAGATAATAAATGTTTTACATAGAAAAATAAATATGCCTGGCAACTAACACAGCCTAAAATATTGTGTAATGTTTTGGGCATATTAATTTGTGTTTACATATTTATAAATGTTTTGTTATAGAGTGCAAAAGGATTTTATGAATTCATATCATATGATGCTAAATGTTCGTCCCTAGATCTCTGTGTTCTTCCAGACAACTTACATATGAAGGGTAGGATGACAGTAAGCCATATTTCCAATAATGGTAGATAGATCAAGTGTAACGACTTTACAATATTTGCACTTGCGCATCTGTAGGACAGAAATGACATCACATTGCTGAGAGCAACATGGTATAATATGGTATAACTGATGACATGACCTGACAGTGTGAACCATACAGCTTACCCTACTTTGACTTACAGATTATCTGTCCCTAATGAATCCGTGCTGGAAGTTCCCTGCCCAACACTCAATGGGGCTTACACCATTAATCCACTTGGGACGGTAACCCATAATTCCTCATAGCTCAATTTGAAAAACTCTAAATGACAAGGAAACACTTGATCAATACAATGAAGGTGATCTTACATCCTCATTATCAATTACAAAATATGTTTAAAATGAATATAATTTGTAGCTTGACTGACTGTACCATGGAATCAGAGCAATGTGATTGGTTAGTTTTGGAAATGATTCAGTTATTATTTGAAATCATGACCTAGGTGCGTTAAATTGTAATTCAAGAATGTAAATTGTAAATGTGCATTTTATTTCCATACATCCATATTCAGCAACACCCCAAGCTAAGCCATGAGTATGACATCCAATGCAACGACTGTTTAAGATAATATTTGATCTCATATCCATGCACATGATGTATATAAAACAAGACGATTGTCCTGGGCCCTGTTCTACAGAGCAGTCTTATAACTAAGGCTATCATAACTCCGAAAATATCTTAACAAAGATTTATTGAAGTAATTAAGCACGAAGATGACTTTGAGGAAGTGGAGACAAGATATTGAGGCGATCTCTGGTGGAAGCTGGAGTGCCAAGGTGAAATCAATTGTTGACCTTTATAGTTTCTTCAGTCTGTAAGTGATATAAGTTTGTCAATGAAATGTTTTTGTTAGGTCTCATTTTCAGTAAGTATTCAGAGGTTGTATACAGTTATTGTTAATAATAACACATGAACATAGCATTAGTCATGCATCGTAGTTATCAAACTTTGCATGTTCTTTTTCCTTTATTTCAATATATATTCCATCTGATGATGAAGGATGGGTGTTTGACGTCTCTATACATGAAGCAGAGACGATCTGTAGATAAAATGTCTAACATTTTGGATATCTCCAACATTTGTTTGTCAAAGGAGCGATCCCTTCCTCCTTCACTAGTGATAAGGGTTGAAGATCAGAACCATTTCAAGAATCCAAAAGATCTCATTAAGATCTACATCATGTATAAAGAAAACTCTTTTCATGATGTCACCAGCCTTCCAGTGTGCAAGTTAAGGAATTCGCTCTCTATTGCTCTCATAACCTATTTCTCTTGTGTGGAATAATTCCTGCCTATTTGTATGTAAAAGACCCATTTGTCTGGCAGGCGAAATGCTTATCTCTGTATATTGGAAGCAAGTATTGATAAGAAACGTGTATCATTCACATAGCTGTACAAAAATATTCCCATTTCATTGTCTTATGAATCTAAACAAGGGCAAATCGATTGCTGTGTGCAAGTGGTATTTCTCAAGATGGAGTTTAGCGACACTGCTTGGTGGTAATAATGTCAGAAAGCCACAGGGGACCTCATGGGAGGGAGTGTTTGCTTGGAAATAATAGACAACTTATGTAAGATTTCTTCTGAGTCTAGATGCAGGACCCAATCTTGTGGCCTTTCTGTTAAAGAGTGTGAAGACTTACAAACGATCTCATGGGACCCGTCGACTTAAACCCGCCTCAGTAGACCTCAAAAAGCCGAGGCGAGATGAACTTTCCAGTTTTCTACCCAATAACTATTAACGATTACCACAAATGGAAGAGGTTGGGAAAAATTGCCTGAAAAAATAATTCAGTCCCTTTTTTTCAATTATACGTCATGAGAAATGCATTTGCGTTAAAAGCTTAGAGTCGATATTGGAAAATTAGAGTACACTGTTAAAAATATGTGTCATATCTTATCCACTGTGAGAGAAGGGAAGAGATGGTTTGGTAGTGGTGTGAAATCCTGGCATGTCCTTTCACTCCAGCTAGCCTGTCATTTGCTACAATTTTCAAATTAACTGAAAAAGGAAATGCTGTTTTAAAGTTGCACTTAAGCGAATTACGTTTTATTAAATTTTTGGTGAGGTTTAGAATATTGAATGACTTATGAAGGGGGAGGAATATCGGTTCACTTGTTCCATTAACGACAAGAACTGTTGGAAAATGTTTATTCATCAATCTGATGAAAGAAACTGTTTTTGATTATAGTTTAAATTTGTTCATGATAATTTCCTCAGGGAATTAGTTTTTTGTTTTTGAGATGTATAATTTTTGCAGCTAATCCAAAAGTAATTTTGATGTTGCTACTGGAAAGTTGTGTGAAAACGGAAATAAGATCACCATAGCTATAAGAAAACCTGTGTCCTGTGTGTTACTATTATTGACTTGAATTTACAACAGAACAGCCAGGATTTTTAGTTCTATTCTATATTCCATTTTGAATTGAAAGGTATAAAACTATTTCATGCACACCTGTGTCAACTGAACACAGTGGTGGATCAATGGGGTGTTGGTTGGGGGTGGGGATGGGGTGTGAAGATGTTGGTGGGTGTCATGGAGTTCAACAAGCCCTTTTAAAAATCACAAACGGACCCCAATGACATGAACCCCCAAATAATAACTGAGTATTTTTGAAATACAGAAAAATTCATCAATATCCCCCACTCTCTTTGTCTGACCTCACACGCACATGCACACGCACAATACACACATATATGGTACACACACACACTGAAGTTAAAATTCAGAATTTAAGAAATCAAAACATTACTCAGCTGGTTCAGCTGCTTGAACATGTAGTAAATGCCTTGATAACTGCATGCATCACTTTATGGCTGCAGGTTGAGCCTGCCTGAAACCGCTATAAAGTGTAAGGCTGTCCTACCATTCACATGAGGGACTAGGAGTGCACAGTCCGAGAGAGAGCAGAAGTAGGCAGGTGTGAGGTGTGTTAGATCTTCATCATTGTAGATGGGTTATCGGAGGAGATACGTATTGCCCTGTTATCTGTTTAATCACTCTAGCTTGTGTTTTAACCCCGATAGGGACTCCAACATGCGATACAGAACACCTCAGTGTGGGCTGCTCAGATGACTTCCAGATAACAGAACTGTGATGTAAAGTTACTAGTTTTTTAGCGTGTATCTGAATTAAAGGCCCTACTTTTTGAAAACTTGTATTTGATTTGATTAATTCAAACGAAATATTCTTTATCAAGTTGCAAAATGTTATTAATATTAATGTTTTCTTGTAAGATAATAAAACATTTTTTTCTGTAAATGTGAAAGTAGTTAAGGTCAATTAATGAATTAAATGAATAAATTTTCATATCAAATATATTTATTAATTTATAATGTTGACAATAATATTCATTTTAATGTCTTGTATATATGTAAGTTGCATTGTATCATTAAGGTAACATCTTCCCTTGATATCGATCCATCCAAACAGGCTTTATTTTGTATTTTGTCCAAATGATAATTTTTAACAGCATTGATGAAACTGCTTCCGTAATGATGTCACTAAAACATATCAATATGCATTACACAAGTCATATATCATTCAGACAAAGAAAAATAAATTACACTGAATATTCATTCTAATGACTTTTTAACCAGAAAATAAGGAAAGCATGCACATTATCTGTGTTTATGCAGAGCAATGATAACTTTAGTTGTTGTTTTATTTTAGAAATTTCATTGATTATCCATACACATGTGCCTAGCCATGAGTTTTTATTTTTTTAAAACAGGCATTTGAAAAAATTAATTTTTATACCATAGTGGATTTTTCTGGAATCAAGCTTGCGAAAATGTATGGATGGGAACATTTAGAATCTATTAGCAATGGGGCATCTCAAATTAGTTCTGGAAAATTGCTACCTTGATATTTCAGACAGCACAACTTATCATTTTAAAGTAATTAACAGTTGGGGAGAGAATGCATGAATTGTTTCAGCTGCTAAACAGATTGGAAGGATACTTAATGCTGCATCATATGGACATCATTTTTTCCATATGTCAGCTAATTGTAGTCATCAGAATGTAATTAGTGCCTTTTTAAGTCTGGTATTTGTATAA